CATGGCCCCGTTCGCAACTATGTGCAAAGAAGTTTGCCATTCGTTCCATGAACTAATGCTGTCATCGACGTGCGCTACCTATTTGTCAACAGACACAAACAAGTATGGCAGAGCGCACGTGCACGTCCACGTACACTAATGAACGGGTGGGCAAAATCAGCCAGGCATGTAGCTGTATATGTTGATATTATACCTGTGATAAAAAAGGAGGCGATTGCGGCACCTCCTTTTTTATCATACGCGCTATCTGGCAATTGTAAAATAATCATCGTGAACGGGTTTTAATATGTATGCTTTGAATAAGACGTTGCGCTAAGAGAACGGGATACCACAACAAACAGAAAGGTCAAGTGAAGATATGTCGTATTAGACGATATCAACGGCCGCAATGATAGTAATACAAGCGTAAATGCAAGGATTGCTTGATGAGACCCACTCCACTTGTTTGATATTTTCAGCGAATGTCTACGTTTTTCGTGCGGTACTTAGCGCTAACGCTTTCGTTAGCTTCTGGTGACTTCCTAGTTCTCTGTGCGTCTATGGTTGTTTGCGTGTGTGGGGGAAAAGAGAGTCAAAGTCGAGGTGAAGGAGCAACTACGACAGCTCTCCCAGACCGTTGGCCTTCTGATACTGACGACGCGCTATTGTCTTCCTGTTCCTTGCCACTATCGTTGTTTCAAAACGATTTGCTCTTAGAGAATTTTCCCGTCACTTAGCCCACAATGAGCAGCGTATCAGTGTAATTCCGCTGACGTCTGATCACCACCGACCACCGACCTGCCGAACTTATATATCTACTACAATTATTACTGCTCATCAGTACTGGTAAGTACTAACTTCATAGTTCTACAGATGCTCTCTTCACCTCCGATGCGTCCGCAACCGTGTAAAATGCTAGGGGGAAAGGGGAATCTGCGCTAATGGGGAATTCGTATTTTATGCTTGCATGCCGATCTGGACGTCTGCGTCATTCTGTGCACGTCCTGAAGCTACTGGTTTTTGTGTGCGTGAACGAAGCCGTTTGGTCCTTCGCTAAAAAAACCGTTGACAATGCGCCAGCTGCCCCAGACCCTGCAGCTGAGCGTAACGGTCGGTGCAAACACTACCAGCACTGTCATCTCGTTTCAACGTTCGCTAATCTGAATAAAACGTTGTACCATGCCATTTTCCGCCACTACAACATCGTTCATAGCCCTTTCCTTCGAAGACGCATGTCTGATTTAACAAGACAGGTGGGTGTGTGCGTATGTATCCGCTTGGGCGTGTGTGCTTATTTACCTAGCGTTAAACGACTATGATTCGATACGCCTTAAACTGGCTGGAACTCTACTGAAGTGATGAATGAACGCCGCTTCGTGCAAACTCTGAACTGCCGTAACGACGCGACCAGAGTCACAGCAATTGCTTTCGTAGTTCCGTCGGCACGCAGCAGCAGGAAGATGTTTCAGAAGCGTGAGCTCCACAATTATTGCCGCACTTGACACCTTGGACAACTCTTGCCGTAGTTGACGTTACCTGGCTATGGCAACTAGAAACTCTGTAACGGTGCGGCGGTTACGCTATGAGGCCAGTGTCTTTGGAAAACATTGCCGGCCTGCCATCACAGCGTGGCGTCTACCGGGAGCAAGGGCTAAAAGAAAGGCGGTCCCTAAAAGCCGCCGTAAATCTTCTGTCCGTTGCCTCTTTGATGGAAAACAACTACAGGAATCGTTAGCTGGACTTCATCCAACAACCCTTCTTCATTCGCTTTGCCATGGACGGACACTGCCACAATGATTCACTCAGTTCCGGAAAAAGCACTACGCTAATTTGCGAAGCATCGTACTATCTTACCTCTACAAGTAGTGTTTCCTTAACTTTTATTCGAAATAAATGTCGATTTTGTCTGCTTTCTGCTTTATTTCAACATGATTACTGTGTCACCGGTTCGTGTCTGCACACGGTTACCAATAGTAACCTAGCTAATGCTAATAATGCTTAAGGTGACCAATGTGCAAAGAGGGATGCTGTCTGTTTGACGTGGTCTGCGCTTTTTTATTGATTCATGCAATGATGCATCCCCTTCAATGTGACATCTGCCCATGCTGGTGCACGAAATCTTTGGCTGACGTTTTCGACATATTGGTTTTTCTGTCTGTGTCTACTTTATTCGCACCCGTTTGACTCTGTTAGTCCTACTGTAAACAGATATATTGCCACTTTTCGTATATGACAACTTTTGTAGATGGCGCCATCCAAAGGAATTAAAGCGGCATAATGGATCCATGTGGTTAGTGGAGCCCAAGCAGGTCTGCACGTCCAGACGCAACAACCGACGGCATCTGTTTCAAATGCTGTCCAATATGGACGTTCGTGGACTCGGTAAGTGACTATGACTCACTCACTACCGACTCATCGCCCGCTTGCCCAGGCGATTGCTTGATTACTGGAGAACAAATACGTTCTGTCGAAGAAGATGCAGACAGCAAATACAAGTGAATATCACCTCGTCCCTTTATTCTCGCTTCATCTACAGATTTGACACAGCGCCGGCTTGTCAGCGAAACTTCTAGCGCTATAGTAGCAATAACAGGCAGTGACCTGAAGAAAAGCTAGTTTCTACATTCAGTTTTTTCAAATAAACACACGCACACGCACACCCATACGAACCTATCTACGTATAGATAGTTGCAAGAAATTCACAGGGGCAGTCGCTTAATAGCCACTATTTTCAGCCGAAGAATATTACAAGAATTGACCTTTATGTCTTTTTTCTTGTGGTAAAGCATAAATTATTTTCAACGAATAGTCTTTCTGTTAAATACCTTCGCTTTCCTCTCACTATAGTTTATATAACGTGATATAAACGCATAGTTAGTATAGTTATAGGTTACATTCGATTGAAAAGCGCTAAAGGGTAGCGTTTCCACGCGCCGACCACGACTGTACCATGACTAGACAAAATATACAAATGTCCACCAGTCCCTTGATCTTACCTGCATCAGCCTGCTGGCTCTATCGGCTGTGGGAGCTGTCAAATGCTTTGTGTTCTGGCCAGCGTTACATTAAGTATGGCAAAAATAAGCACCATTTGAATCATGATGATGTTGTTTTTAAAGGAAGTACTTGGACAAAATGCTATAGCCTTTCACAGTAGTCGTACTATGAAGTGCGGCGAGTCCGTGGAAGCAGCTTAACTGAACTGTACAGCTTTCGTGACGTGCATTCGCGTGTGTAACACCTGGCACTAATTTATCAAACCGCGAAGATGAGATCAATACCTAGCACAGCGTAGTTACTCTCTAGCAGTAACCGGCAGTACCTCATCACCTCGTCTGGCCTTTTATCTCACCCCCACCGGTTATCCCCAAAGCAACGCTGCCTCGGCTCTCGCTGATGCTCCTACAGCCAGCTTTGCTACCGCTGTCAAACGCAGACTATTGAGCCACCAACCGGAATCGAGCGAATGAATAAATGGACAAACAAAGAGACACGATACAAAAAAAATTTCCATCAGGCAGTAGCCAACAGGCCGATGTCGAGTTCTGCCACTGTGGTTCAAGTCAGCATGTGGACAATTCTATATATTGTTCGGTTTTTTTTTGGAGGGGAAGGGGAAGATGGAAGAAAGAATGCTCGAGAAGTATATGCTCATTTTGAATTCTTCAAATAGCTTCAACGGCTTGAAGAGACTGGTCTTTGTCCGGCTTGCTATGAGAGCTCTCGCATTTATTTCACGGTATCCTACTATCGCTGCACAGACGCTAAGATGCTCTGCTTTAAATGCACCCAGAACAGCGTTTACTGTGAGTCCCGATTGCAAAGAGACCATTGTGGCTGGAGAGAACTAGTATTGTTGAATGATACCCAAAAATTCAGCTCCGCGTTTGAGTACCTGTATACTGTTCGTTGCGTATCCCATAATCGGGTTTGGCTCTATCCGTTTCATTCTGATTCTAGCTAACCATAAGCAGTCAAGGTGATATACAATTTGTCTCAATGTAAACTGACGCCCGTCCGGTAATGGCATGCTCGAACGGCAATCCCCTATTAGAACTATATAGTATAATATTTCAAAGGATAGCATGACGTCAGAACTGGTCAGCACATTGTTTCTTTAACGAACGACAACTTCGGATGAAAACAGTCTTAGGTAAAGGGGATGATTTTAGAACTGGGCAGTGTCGAAAATAAACGAGCCAGAATGGTCCGTGACCGCAGCGGCGCCTTCTTTCAAACTAGAGTCTTTCAACGTAGAGTAAGACCTTTGCCCAGGGTCGTTTTAGCACCTCGTTAATGCTGATGGCTTTTTGACAGCTTTCCAAGGTCTGCTAGCGCCATAGAGTACTGGTGAGTACCATATACGCTACACACTCGACGTTTTTAGTGTCTATATGCTGGATTTGTTCGCCAGATGACGCTTACAAGCCTGCAGGTTAAACGAATCGGACCCTTTTCCAGAAAATGATCGAACCCGATGAAATTTGTTGAGTGCACCCAATTTCCTATTAATTTTCACAACCATCAAGCGTGAGGTAGATACTTAAGCATTCATCTAAACATGTCTTTTGATTTATCAGGCGAGTTGCATATGAGAGACACTAATGGTAACTTGCTAAACACTATCGGTCGTGGATTCTGTGATACGCGTGATTGGTCCGGTAAGCGTTCTCGCATTAAACCTGGGAATATGGGAATTATCATATACATCTTCATATGTTCAGTTTATTTGTATATTATAGTTTCATATTATTATGAAATGAATTGCACATCTACCGCTTATTTACTCCATTATTACTGAAAAGGAATACTGCTACTCTATAAGATACTGACGATTTGGTTACTGAATACCTAAAATCCCTCGTTAGATTGAATTGTGTCGTCTGTCTGCACGATCATCATGTATTTTTTATCGGCCCAAAAGCTCCCTCAGCTCGTATAGTCAACCGCGTAAGCATCTGTTAGAATATTGGATTATACGATGTTGTATTTAGACGCTCTGGACGTTTCTAATTACTTACTGGTCAGTTTTCATGATCTCCTCCTTTGAGCGCACTTGTACCGGCGCTAGCTGTTCAGTTGTTTCGTCGTAGTCTCTGAGGCACTTAGTAATTCTTTCATCGAATGAGCTGACGAGGTCTTCGAGTGAGGCGCTGAAGGCTCCAAGGTTTGACTCGCCGAAATCTAAGCACACATCATCGACAACACCGCTATGGGTCAGATTATTCGTACAGTTGTGAGCACCTCCTGTGGGGACGTCCGCCGCTGTTGCTGACATGGCTGGCGGACCGTTCGACGCTGTTGTCCAGATATTATTCTGACCAGCTGTACCGCCAGTCGACTGTTGGGTACCACCATTTGTTTTAGCCGGAAGTTTGTTCAAGTTGAAGTCACTGAAATCTTCCTCAGCAGAGGCCAACGGAGCCTCGGCAAGCAGCTCCGAGGCCATCTTCGCATCACCCATCACCATGAGCGCCGTTGAACCCGTCAGGCAGCGTGATGAGCCCAGCGAAGAGGCGTGTTGTTCGCCCTTACCACCAGCACCACTGCCGCTGGTGCTGCCACCGAAGCGCCGACTCCTGCAACAAGTCACAGCACAGCCACAGACACAACAGCACAACAATTGCAGCGGTACCAATTGAAACCAAGTGCAGCGTTCCCGGCACGAGCCAAGACGCGACCGCACGCAATGCGGTAATAGTGCCGATCCGACCGTATGAAGATAGAACACGCAGCAACAAAAAAGACAACAGCAAAAGTCAAAGAGAAAGAAAGGAAGGTGAGCACCGCGAGCGCCCACCAGATGGCGTTAGTGAACTAAAAAAACCGACCGACCAATCAACCGACCGACAGGTCGGCCCTCCGCCCGGCCGGCCGGCCAACGGCAAAAAGAAAAAAATGGGAGAGTTGCACTCTGCTAACGCGGATGTTGCCGTTTGCATCTTCTGCTTTTGGCTGCTTCAGGAACAGCAACCGCTGGAGAGTTCTACACGGCACGTCTATTGATGGCCCGTATGGTGGAGCTAGCACTGGTGGCAGCTACAGCGGGCGACGCCGGCAGCGCGCGAATAGAACGTCAAATATTTAGATGCAACGATTATCCAGTTAGTCAGATAGAGGAAAACGCAGATAGGCCGGTATAATAGAGAGCTCTGTGCCTGCTCTCGGTGCACCCACTTCAAGGACGGTAGCTGCCGCCGTCGTCGCTATAGCTGGCGTCATGAGCCCTCGAGAAAACCGGGCAAATGGGACCGAGAAAAGGAGAGAGAAATAAGGTTGTGGAAGAGGAGGAAACGCCTAAGCGTGTATGCTATTCGTGTTGGTAAAGGAGACGGCTATATACGTAATGGTAATGACTGTGATAATACTGTTTGCGAATGAGCGCGCCCTACCGGTAGTGAGTGGCAGGAGTTTTCAATCGAATGGGACGAAAGAAATATTTTTAGGCAAAACTTTAAAATAGAATGCTTGCATCATGCTTATTTGATCAATAGGACAAAGGTATTCGGCAACTTTATCAATAATGACTTGCGTAATGTCTACTTGATTACTGCTAGAGTTGTGGAGTCACTATGGGCTACAAGTGTATGTCGGCATTATCATGAACTAAACTGTGCGGCATTGCAGTCATTCAGTAAATCACTGATAAACCAGTGATTCTGAATTAATGCTATTCTTCTCTTTTAATTTTCCGATATTCTTATCAGTATCTTCTAAAGCGATCTTATGTAGGAAGAACAATAAATGTAAACGATGATGTCAGTATTCAATTTACGATCTGTACTATTATTAATATTATTATTATCATTAATGATGATAATAACATCATGTGCTCATGTGTCGGATTTTCAGACTGCAAATGGGTTGCTACATCCCTTCCAAAAGGGCTAATCTATCCGATGAAGATGCTGAGGATACATCTATCACTCTCTTATTACTTTATATTCTTTCTCAACCAATTTTTCCTTTGGTAAACCATGATCGGTCAATCTAAAGTACGCGACTGAACGCATTATTGATTTCTTCCCAGGCAATTCCCCAAATAGGGCTTTAAAATATATTTTTTAATCATCTCTTTTTGCAAACTTCTACGCTTTTCTCATAATCCTTTGTCAGATAAGATCAAGAAGTTTTCATCCTTCTGCATTAACGGATACCTCTAACTTGAGTATTATTTAGCAGATAATATTTGATAAAGGCAAGCGTATTTCTGGCCTCTGTTTTGTCTGGTGGTAATAAACAAACCCGACGAAGCTGCGCCAAGGTGCTCAACATGTACTACATCGGCATAGTTCGCAGGATTTCCGCAATAATGGTTCGCTGGACAACTGCAACCGTTTCAGTTCGACGAAATACAATTTCCACACTGTTTGATGCTGTCATTTATACTGACGTTACGGTAAATACAAGTTATGTAACACCGAGTGTATCGATATTAGAAATTACAATTTCTATTAAATCCTACGCTGCTCTATTTAACGTAAACTGCTCTTGATAAACACAAAGGTGTTATAATTCATGCTAGTAACTGGAATATCGAAAATTAATGATACAAATCATCAGAAACTCCATTGTTATTATTCAAATTTCGGTTCAGAAGGACTGATAAGAAAACTACAACTTAATTTAGTAAATTTCCCAACTTTTTAAAAGTTGTGACCAATTAAAATTCATTTTTAGATGTTTAAATACGATGGGATAATCAGTGCATTTCAAAGTGCACAACAAATCAGAGCTGCTTTGAAGAGTTTAGAAGCTAACGAACAATTGTAATGTTCGAACTCATCAAATTCATGACATCTTTCCAAAGTTTCAGGTAGATCTTTAGGTCATTCATTCACTAAAAACAAGTTCATTGGTTACCTGTATTGGTCGTACAAAGATCTAGATGTTCCTATATATATATATATATATATATATATATATATATATATATATGTATATGGTATATGTTTTTATTATAAGCCATCACACGGTGCCCCGACAAACGCATAGCGGTCTTAGGGTGATTACAAAATATTGATAACATTTCTTACCATTAATCTTTGATGCTGTGAACGGTTCATCAGCATCATGGGATTCGCCATTTTTAAATGGATACAGGAACCGCTACATCGGTTATAGGTGGAAATTTTTAAAATTCCAAAAGGTGGTGTAACTAACTGAAGAACTGTAACTCACCTATTGCGCTTAAGCGAGTGAAGGCACATGAGGATGCAGAAAATTGCGCTTATTCTCGCATTACCCGTGTCAATCGATCAGATATAATTAATAGTCATAAGTCGATCAAAAAACTAAGATTCTAGTCTTCTACAGTGTATTACACAAAAAAGCAACCTGGACGAGTAAAATATTGAAATAAACCTCAGATATTAGGAGTTAGAGCGTACCTAGTTAATTTGCAGCTTGCAGAGACGACCGCTAATGGAACATTTATTTGATAAATATCAAATAAGAGTGACATATGCGTCTCGTTTTTGCGGCCATTTGCTATACGCCAAGACTGCTACAATCGGAAAAAAAATAACTAGACCTTTAGAGAGGACAGCTGTAGTTCCATAGACAGGATGTTCCCTATTCCCTTGTCAAAGTTACTTTTCAACATCTGTCGCGTTATCATCAGGCTGGCCAGCTAAAGGGCCCACTAATTCTCAAATCCTGGTTTAATATTCTGTTCCATTGAAAAGAATAATCTTAGCAATAGCAGTTCTTATTTCACTATTAAGTGACTAGCACAAGTATCCTTTGAAACTGGATAGGGGACAAAACGGCCAAATGTCTTTTAAATGCATATACCTTTATCTATCTAGTCGAAGCAATCACTTATCTTCTTAGGTGTTGGCCATTATGTCTGATTGATACAAAATTCACCATTTAATTATATCTAGGCGTCCAATAGTTGCGTTTCGAAACAAACGTTTTACTTTTTTGCGATGGGTGCTTATTATTCGAGCGTATATTTAAGTCATTTCAGCAGATGATTCCATGCGTGTGGGTCTGTGTAAACTGAGCCATGTTTTGCCAAATCATTCTTTCTATAATATACGCCTTTAGTTGACATTAGATTTACGCAAATGCTGATTGTTAGCCGCATGGTATTCAGTGGTCTGCATGTGATAAGCGTAGATAATTACCCGAGAAAGACGGCCTTAAGTCGATTTGCTGTGTTCTGAAATATCGACACACAAAGAAAACAGCTTAGATTTAGGATAACGCCGATAGTTTTTTCTTTTTTTTTGTAATGAACGCTGCAATACACACAACGAGAAATTTATATACGTATATGTATATTTGGACGTCGGGTTCCAAGGAGTTGGCATTCATTATGAAGCAACGATCATAATAACAAAATCTACGATGCTTAGTTTACAAAATTGTATCATGTACGTTTTTAATATTATTAATTTCCTATGCGTACAATATATATTGAATGAAAACACAGGGAAAGGGTCATTTTTCGACGTTCGCGACGTCAACGTTCGCTAGAAGGTGCAGCATTCAGTTTTTGGAATAACCAAAATTGGAGAAATTGTACTGTACAATTGAAATTCATCATCATCGAACGAGGATCATTTCAAAATTGCAACTTCCCGACCTTAAGTATTGGCTGGGTCCACTGTAACGCTGTACGTAGAGCATACGCGATTTTCGCAGGCTTTATTTGATGTATTTAGTTCAATTTCTTTTCCGCCTTATCTTTAGTACATTGTATGGAGGTCAGTGGATAAGAACTATTACCCTCGTACATGTGACATTCACCAGGCAGACATGCAAAATATAGGTTCAGGGCGTCTTACTACGTTGCTGCTTCTTTGCGATACGAAAATCTAAGGTAATACCAGCTCAGGCTACGCCCGACCACGCGATATATAAGGTTTTGGCACATGTCTTGTGGATGTTGATTAGGTACAATGAAACAGTAATCGTACAAATGATAATACAAAATCTCTATTCCACAGAACAGTTGCCTGGTTTTTCCCCTACTCGAGAACCTGATCAGGCAGGGGGTAATTCGTTCACGTCGGTAGAAAATGTAATGATGGTAAGGCTGGTCAAACGCAACTGGCAACTTCTCTCGTTGGTTGATATAGTAATCTCGTCGTATTATTGTTACACCTTAATATGAAAAATTTATATAAAGTCATTGGTTTTCAGTATAATATTTACGTTTGCGTGTCCCGTGCAGCACCCAACTTCTTTTCGCCACCATAACAGTTACGACAATAGCTTAGCAGTAAGTATTACATAAATAAAGTAATAGAACAATGTACGAAAATACTAAATATTCTGTGGACTTCATTTTATTTTTTGACGTCGTACTTCCTTCAGCATGTCGACATTACAAACAGAATGCTAAAATGTTTTTATTTCAGTTTATCTTCTATGAAAGTCGACCGTTGCAGAAAACCATTTTGGATTGGCTTGGAACTTGGTCATCGTCTATCACAGGCCGCAGCGGACTCATAATATTTAACAGGTCAAATACTTGCCACTTTTATGCTTTTCACTTACACTAAAATGGAAAAGCAACCATATTAAGACGAGTATGTAAGCGGATCACATAGGATTCCTAATTGTTATTGATGCGTGATTATCTAGAGTAATCCGCAGCCGGGCTTCATCGGGAAGCACAAGCGTATTAAACTGGAGACCCACCTGTATAGTTCCTTTGCCGCCTCTTTTCTTAGATGCTCCGATTTTTGTGTTGTTGTCACTATCGTTATTCAGCCCCTGATCCTTCCGATGAAACCTTCTAGCAGGTGCAATTGGTGAAATGAGCTCTTGTTGCCCCTGCTGATTACTATTCTTTCTATTAGTATTTCTACGATTTTCTTTATCTCTCTCACGACACATTAGAATTTCAACTTCAGGAGACATGAACAGTGTTCGAGATCTGAACAATTCCCATCGGTGAAGACCGTTCATAGTATCAGCAATATCTCGGTACGAAGGCCGCCAATCAAAAGAGCACTTCGGATGTGAACATACTGAGGTCATAATGCCGTCTTAAGGACTCCAGGCCTATAGCAGTTTCAGCACGGTAGGTTTACACCCTTTTATGAGACTGATCCGCAGAATCGCGCTCCTACACTATTATTCGGCAACATTTACTTCTTCCCCTCTTCTCGCTCAAATCGTTATTAGCATCAGGAAGAAGGACATCAAATTGTGTACGCACAACACCGCGACAGTGATTTTAGGCGTAGGTTTCATGCGCACAGATTGCAAACACAGACTGTTCGACTCAAACCACCACGAAAGAGGGGTGGTCTTAATCTCTCAGTAACAAGAGAGCAAGTTTACCGATCGCGCGACATAGGAGGTTGCAGATTAACCGTTTGTATTTAGTATTTTTCAGTATATTTTAACCTGTGTAGTCACCAGCACACATCAACAAACGACAAGTGATTTAGTATTTCAGCATCAGCGATTGCCAATAGTTTCTGTACCAGCTATCTGTACCGGCCCCTGTTTTGCTCGTTGTTGCTAAGATGGCGACGAAACCCTTGCAGAGCGTATTACGACCGCGAAGAAATCGTTTTTCGACCGCATTTGCTATAGTTGTGGAGTACCGCGACTTGCAAGTAACGAGAACGCAAGAAGCAGTAGCGACGGTAGTCTTAGTCCCAAGAGTTATCGTTGTGGTAGGAGGGCAATTATTAGCAGAGTCACAGCGGTGGCCATGGCGTCGGCGGTAACAGGGACCGGTGGTGATCGTGATTTCTTCAGTTGCAAAAAAGGGATGTAGTGTTGTATATTGCGTGCGCGAAGATATGTACTTCTATTTCTCTCTGCTCGTAAACGATGGACGTATGCAGTCGTCGGTTGATGCAATCGCTCTGCGCTACGTAATGTTACGCTCTCTATGCAGTCAATAACTGACGGTAAAAGCGACGCGCTGACACACTAATTCTCCCGCCTCGTGAGAATCTGTAGCTGCCACCGCGTTGGCAAGCACCAACAAGCCAGCAAAGTTAGCTAGCTAGCCGGGAGGGATGTTTTTTCTATGGCACTCGCTGACCGACGCGCTACTAGCTGTTGACTGGTTTTAGGAGAAATGGTCGTTGGCCCAGTCGAGTAGAGATACGCGCGGTAGCCGGTTCTCACAACCAGTTTGTCTTCGACGTCTCTCACATCTCATCCGTCCCGAGAAAGACTAACTGCCACGCAACGTGCAGCAGCAGCAGCAGTAATAACAATAGTAGAAGTAAAAGTTCAACAACAACATCAGTATGGCCAACAACGACATGCAGCACAAATACAAATAAACACAACAGCCATAGAAACACTGATTCATGCCATCGTTTTGCACAAAAGGAAAAACAACGTTGATTTATAACAGAAGCAGCAACAACAACGATGCCGGCAGCAAGAAAAGGCCCATTTGATGCCATCCTTTCTGTTAAGAAGGACCGATTATATTGCTGCTCGTGATTGCACATGTTCCTGGTGGAGAGATTGCGGACTAAAACAATTCATTAGCCCGACACACTTTTCAGATAGATGATTGTGTTGATCATACGAAATCACGGCAACGTTCGATTTAGCTATATGATAGACGCGTATTAAACAGCTAAGGTTAATGATTTCAGCCCAAGCACAAATCCTTTAAACGAAGACGTTTCGTGTTCTCATACAATAGTTGCAATCAGTCTTGCTACTTATTTAGACTAGCTCTTACTGGACCCGGCTTGGCCTTAGTCCCTAGTCCTAGTAAAGGAGCCGAACTCAAAGTGTTCGGTTTTTTTGTGTCCATAATTTTATGTCCAGCAATCGTACGATATCGGTATACGACATATTGAGAAACTACGACTCATGTTGATTTGTGGCCGTTAGTGTCCGCTAACTGCTGCGATCTGTTGCAACCACGACAGTAGCAGAAGATAGTTGCGTATCATCATCGACGCTACATAAATCCTACCTCTCCGCAATACGTTTATTTACTCGCAACAATGGTGAATCGTTGTCCATAATGTGAGATAAGTTTCGCCCGTCGCAGCATCCACACCGACCTAGGTGACTCACCTAGGTAAACAGCTACCGTTAACTTATTGGGTCGACGGGTACAAACAAATATAGAGGAATCGTGTTAGCCCGCGCTTGTAGATGATTCACTGACTTGACCGTTCGGAGCTGGTAGTTTCGATTAGGCTTTTAGGCAATGTTAGGTTCTATTCTGTCGTAAATCTACTAGATGTTTATAATACGTCAGATACTGCCAGGTCATAAATTCTCCTTGGTTAGAAGCAACGTCGGTTGATATAACAGTGTGTCGCGGAACAAGTGGCGGGAGATGATGAAAAAATGAAACAGAATTACTGATGGCCAACATCGCAACTCGTATGAAATGAATGAGACGTTTCAGTAATGGCCCCGTTTCGCTGCTGTTTGTATGGACGCAACACCTGGTGCATTGTGAGCGTGGACAACAAGCTTATGAACCCGCATAGTGGTCATGACATGGCCAAGCGTAAATACAGTGGGCGACTCCCTGTTCTGTGGCTCGTTGTCAAAACCTTGAACAATTTGATAGATGTAGTTTGAATAAATGGCGTTGTGGGAATCACAATTGACTCCTACGCCAATAGCTTCCAGCTACTGCAAACTTCCATGCGAATCGCCCAGTATGACCAACAAAAACTAGATCCATTCAGTGTTTTTGAAGCTTCTGAGAAACGCTATTACGTTGAAATATTTGGCTCCTTCAGGAGTCAGAAGGCATTGTACAAGTCTCGTAAATGTTGCTCTAGATGATAAAAAAAAACAACTTATCTTTTCGATATACTGATATGGATTGGTTAGTTTTTGACATATATAGTTATAGATCAATTATCTTTTCATATCGGCAACTCTTTATGTATGATTTCTAGATTGTCCATCTGATATAGGACAACAAACATACACACATATATATATTCAAGATGTTGTGCGTTATAATTATAGTGGATTACATATGATATTCTAATCGTGTTTCTCTATCGAGGAATATGACTTTGCTCCTGATTATGTTATAACGATAGGATATTTAAAAAACACTTATTATAAATGACAATAATCGGCGAGTTCTAAAATAACTGATCCTATAGCCATCACGGTGCGGAGTCCAGAATAGTTTTCGTGATGACATGAAGAGAATACGGCTAATTCAGCTTCTGCCGCGATGTGCTG